ATGCCCTCACCATGGATTCTCAGATTCGCAGCTGCTAAGTACCTTAGACAGAGGTGCTTTACCAAAGGTCATACTCTTATTGGAAACAGCTTCAAATGGTAATTTCATGACCAGAGAAGTGAATGAAGCCATGACTCTTGTGGAGAACCTAGCTCAGAGTGATAAGCTATATGGGTCAGACTTTGACAGAAATTGAAAAAGAGATGTGAGTGTTGAAGAGGAAAGGACAAGGAAAGATATCAAGTCTCTCAATGAGAAGCTAGATAAACTTCTCTTAGCTTCACATCAGTCAATCAACATTGTTGGAGATGTGAATCATGGGATTCAGGACAAAGTTCAAGCGGAAGACACCACAGCTGAGATGAACTTTGTAGGTGGCCAGCAAGGTTACCAAAAAGGATTTAACTACTACAAGAATCCCCCCACCCAGACTTTTATCCTCAACAAAGTCACTTACAAGGTTTTGTCCCTCCCCAACAACAAAGCCTCCAATAGAAATCAGGGAATAAGAATCAAGAAACCAAGAACCTGCTCCAGCAACTCATCCAAAGTCAAGTAAGTGGTTCCATGGATTTCAACAAGAAAATGGCAGAGATCCACAACAAGGTGGACTGTTCTTATTCTGACCACATTACTCAGATTGCAACCTTAGCGTCCAAAGTTAAAACTCTTGAGAACAACAAAGGACACTCAACTTCTCAAACTCAAAGGAATATTGCAATGCCATCTTCTCAAATGAATAGAATAATGCTGCTGTCCAAGAAATTGAGAATCTTCTTCATGGCAAAGTCTCAACTGAGAAAACCCTCACTGCTGAGGATGAGGACACCATTATAGAAGACTTTTAGAACCTGTTCTATGATCTCAATGAGGACATTGAGAAAGAAGGTGGGGAGACAGCTAGATTTGCTATGAAAAAGAATGATTTTGAAATTGTTGAAGGAAAGGAACAGAGAATGCTTCAAGCAAAGACAACTGATGAAGTTTCTAGCATTGATTCAAAAAAGGTGAAGCCTAATCTATTCCAAAGCTAGGTAATCCAGAGAATTTCTCCATCTTATGCTCTATTGGAAGTTTGAAAGTGGAAAATGTTTTCTGTGATTCTGGATCAAACATTAGTGTGATGTCTTTAGACATGGTGGAGAGATTAGGGATCAAGACTCTAAAGCCATATAGAATCCTTGAAGACTATCCACTAAAGGTTGGTCAATGCATAGTTCCCTCTGATTTTGTAGTCATGAAGATGAAGAAGACCAAAGAGCTTCCTCTTTTTCTGGAAACTCCATTTCTAAACACCACAAGATCAAGGATTGACTTTGATACTCAAAAAGTGGTGCTTAAAAAGGTATATGATGAAGTTTTCTATCCTTTTAAGCTTCCTCTTGCTGGGTTTTGTGGAGTTATTACTGAGGAAGTTGATGAGTTTAAGGACTATGAGATGAAGTATATGGGGAGTATTGGAACCATAGAAGAGCCTAAACCCCTTGCAGCTGTTGAGAAGAAGAAAGAACTTCAAATAAGACCTGATCTTGAGTTTGATGGGGATTTCTTTAGTGATGATGAAGCTTGCTTGGAATCTTTGTCTCTTACACCAAGTGAGAAAGAAACTGGCAACAACAAGGGAAATGGTTCAGGGTCCAAAGACAATAGTCCAAAAAGCACCAAACCATTCACCCTTGGGTCATCTTCTCAAGTCTTAACTCTCACTCCACAGAAGTTTGATGGTCAAGCTGTGGACTACAAGGTTAAAGGTAATGGACGACCAAGACCATTTGCCAAAGTAAGAGAAATCCTCACACCAGAGTTCAAGGACAAAGGATCAGATGGTGTTCAAGAGCTGATGAACAAGGTTCTTAAGCTTGAATTCATGGAAAAGACAAGGAGCATCAATGCTCCTCTTCCCCCTCACTAAAAATAGTATGACATTTCAAACTTAGTGACTTAAAACAAAGTGCACTTGGAGACAATCCCATGTTTATCCTTGTAAATAATAAAATGCTTTATTTTTATGTTTTTAGGATGTTTTGATGTGTTTTGTGGAGTGTATTCAGGTCTCAGGTGAATCTTGGTGCTCTCTAGCTTCAAGAAGTGGTGAACAAAGTGCAAAAAGGTGGAAACATGACTAAGTGTTTGAGGTGCCACGAGTTGATGCCATGGCTTGTTTAACTTGTGGCACATCTGTTTCTCCAGGAAGAATTATTTCAGATGAGGCCATGGCATAGATGCCATGGGTGATTCTTGGCGTGACAAGCTTGATTTCACATGAAAAATATTTTGGAGCTTGCCATGGCATGAAGGCCACGCCATGATTCTTGTCATGGCAATGTGTTTCAAGAGGCCACGAGTGGTGTCATGGGTTAAATGAGGCGTGGCACGTGAAAATTCTTGAGCACAAGCACAGAAGTTGTTTCCACGGTATTTTCCTACACTGAGATGCAAGCAGTGGCAAGGAGAACCTCAAAACTCAACTCATTCGCAAGAGAGCACTGCATAGGTGCCACGGGAAGTTTGAGGCGTGTCAAGGTGTTTTTGAGCATCAAATTTTTCTTGGTGATGGCCATGGTATAGTTCCACGGTATGGTGCAAGGCATGGTAGGTTAGGAAGCAAAGCCACAAGTCTTTCGCAGGTGGTCACGGCATAGTGCGTAGCATGGCATGTTGGGAAAAATGGGTAAAACCCCAGATTTTAGTGCCACGACATGGAGGCCATGTGTTGTTTGAGGCATGGCAGAGGTGTACGGACGTGTTGACCAGTCAAGGTAAATACCCAGCGGTCCAAGCCACACCAACCCTTTCTTCTCCATAAACCCGAGTTTGCTCTCTAAACACCATTCTTGCACTTGTTTCAACCATATCTCTCTCATTTCTTGTCCAACTTGATTTAAAGTGCACTGAGCTCGTTTTCCTGCTGTTAATCTCATTCCATAACCTCATTTGACTCATAGCATCTCAATCCCAAGGTACTTTGTCTGTCAAAATTCATCATATTCCATGGCTTTAATGGTGATTCTTGAACTTGCAATGTGTAAAATCGATTTTGATAGGGTGTTAGATGCCTTGGGATTCATTTTTTAGGTGCTAAATGGTTATATTAAACATCAACATTGAATCTTGCTTGGAAAAAGATGTGTTCTTGAGCATTAGCCATTTTTGAACAAAATTTGACCAAAATTGATTTTTCAAAGAAGTTTCTTGTGCCTTGATGAATTGGTGATAGGCATTTAGGTGTTTGCATTGATTTGAACTGTTTAAATGATTCATAACTCAAGAAACCAAGTAACTTCACCTTCTGAGAAAATCGATTTTGATACATGGCATTGTTCATGTTCACTTTGTACTCACTTGATTCAGAGTATTGTAGGATGACTCTAAGAATGAAATCTATTGCTCCACCAGTCCAAGAAGAAAAAGCTGATCCCTCTGATGCACAGTTTCAATCCTCCTCTCCATCAAAAACACATCTGGTAACACTCCAAACTTGTAAATAGCATTCAAGCATCTAGTTCTTCTTTTTCTTTATTTTTCTTTTTCATGTACGTTTAATCTCTTTCTCATGCTTTCATTATACAGGGACTCTGTACTTTAAGTGTGGGGGAGGGGTTTAGTGTTATCTAACTTTGTTTTCTATGTTCTTATTTTCTCTTTTGCACTTTGAGTCTCATTCATATCATGCATTCATCTATATGCATAGAAAAACCCAAAAAAAAAAAAATCAAAAATTTTAAAACATTTCCACAAAAATAAATCATTAGATGTATTTTCATGATTAGGATTGAGTGTAGATTGCATTTCATATAGGTTTGCATCATGCATTGGGAGTTATGATGAGTTTTCCAAGCATAAGCATCACACTTAGCTAGTTTGTTTAATGCTCAAGTTCTTAGTTCTCTTATGCATTCAAGGAAATGAAATTAAGGATGAACCATCTTTGGATCTTGTGCATAATTTTCTGAGTCTTGATTGAAGAAAATTGTGAATTGAATTCAGCCCTAGCAAGTGAAACCTTAAACTTGATTTGCAATTATCATGTGATGCATACTTGAATGAACTAGTGGATACCATATACATATTTGAGCTGAACTCCCTTTTTACCACTCTTTTCTTAGCTCAAATAGCTGATTATCATCTTTGGAACAGTTATATTGGAACAGTTACCACTCCTTGAACCCATCCTTCTTTCAAGCCAAATTGTTTGTGTGTGAATCAAACTTAGAAAAAAGTGTTAGGTTTAGAGCGACAAGGGTAAGGTTTCATGTTGTATAGTTCCATCATCAAGGAGCTAGTAGATTTTGGCTAAGAATAAGTGTGGGGGAAGAGTGAGTTGGTAGAGAACAAAGAAAAGAAAGAATCCAATGGGAATGGGTTGTGAAAAGAAAGTGGAGAATGGAGGAGGATGAGAACTAGGCAATAGGAATGTTTAAAATGGTTGGTGTCTAGTTCTTACCCTTATATGCATATGTTGTTTTTTACCTTTAGCATTTTGCCAAAGTTTGATCATTCAGTGAGATATCCCTTGTGCTGAATTGAACCCATATATGCATGAAATGAGATCATTTTTATTTCATAATCTCACCCTTAGCCAAGCTTGTTTGTTTAAGTATGCATCATCTTGATTCACTTGAAAGCCATTAATGAATGCTAAAGGGCTGAGGAATAAGAAGGTTTTGTGTAGGTTAAGGCTCAGACTTGATGCATTCAGAGATGGAAATGGTTAACTCTTTTGGAGTATATTCGTTGTGATGCATTTTAGAACTAGGAACTTGAACACTGAGCATGACCTCTAGCTGTGATACTTTTGGAATTTGAACTCCCACCTTCAACCTCTTTCTCTCATTTGTTCTTGTTTGCTTAAGGACAAGCAAATGATAAGTGTGGGGGAGTGGATGTTACATGATCAATTACTTGTTCTTAGCATAAGAACCATACAAGAATTTTTAGGAGCAAAAAATATAGTCATGTTTGTCATAAGAACCATACAAGAATCTTTAGGAGCAAAAAAATATAGTCATGTTTATTTGATAAATATATAAAAAGCCTTTTACTACAACCATTGTACTAAGCTTGCCTCTCCAAGTCAAAATGTAAAAGGTAAACAATTTACAGACACCATCTCATATATATCTTTCTCCTTCGTTCATATCCCCTTCAATGGACTTGTCCATGTGTACATACTCTAATAGATAATTCATCAGTTCAATGGACTTGTCCATGTGCACTTGTCCACATACATGATCCAAATTGGGTTTGGCCTTAGCTATCTTGCGGTCAATCATTGCAAACATAGGTTTCCCTTTGAGAACCAGAGACCTGAAACAAGTTCGAAGTATCTCCAATGATTAATTTAATGATACTATATAAACAATCCAAAATATGAAACGAGTTCAAACGTTTCTAACCAGTAGATTCGACCATCTTACTTATGATCAATTAATCAACACGAATTCAGTTCATAGAACACTAGAAACAAAAATCCATTAAGTAACTCAAATCAAGCCCATAGATATTCATAACAAAATAAAACAAACCAAATCGACTCAAGAAGAGATATAGTAGAGAGCAAAACCAGTTTGAAACCTTCATTTCATCAATTAACCAGAGTTTAGAAGCTCCTCGTTTCTACACCTGCATTCATGAAGCTACATTACAAAAAGAGCAACAAAAGAAAGTCCATTCATTTACACAAAGAGAGTAACTCACAATTCTTCCAAACATCAGACCAATTTATCCAGAAACTCCGAAGCACAGCCAATTGAAATTGAAAACAAATTGGAAATGATTTAATAGTAAATCCACTCGATTTTTTCACCCAATTTGAATACAGGTGAAATTGAATAAATTTGAATCGATAAGATTTCAAATCGTGAGCATACTATCTGTAGTAGATTTCTATGCTTTACAAACGACATCTCTTCTAGGTGATTTAGAATCGATGTCAACGAAATTGGATATGATAACGCCGTTTCCGATAACGTGACTTTTGATGGATCTCAATCCTCGTGATTCGGATAATACGGTGGACATCCGCCGAACAAAGAGAGAAGGGAAGCCATGGCTAAGAGTGAGAAAGGGAGAGTGTGAGGGTGAGAGAGAAAGAGAGAGAAAGTAGAGAGAAGCTCATATCGGTGAAATTGACAGAGATGTTTATGTAGTGAAGGTTTTTAGTGATGTAAAGGTAAGAGAGACTTTGCATACCCCATAAGTTATCCAAAACAAAAATATGCGCCATTTTGTGAATTGTATCTCAAAAAATGACTTATAGTATAATTATTTCCTATAAAAAACCAAGACCCAATAATTCTAGTTTGAAAGTTTATAGTGTGAGTGAAATTTTCTGGAGATTTAAAGTGTGGAATCACCTTAAATAGTCTATACGATTTTGCTTAGTGTATTTCACTATGTCTGCTCTGAATGCAACGAATTCTCTTGTAGGTTTTAGATTTTGGATACATTCAAAACATTCCCGCTCAATTATTATATTTCTGTACTAGGTATCTGTTCGCGGGGCGCGGACACAATCAACACACAAATCTTATTATAATTTGATTTTAGAAATTTTTGTAACATAAACGTCATATTTTTATTTTCAATAATTGAGGCTAAAATATTATATAAACATAAATCATAAAAATATTAAATATCCATTACTATTATTCTAAATCGATTAATATTAATCGTATATTAGAGTTATTTAAAATCGTAGGTAGCTATTAAGATTATCAAATATAATTAGTAATAATAATAAAAATAATTAAATTGTAGATGACAATATAATAAAAAGAAATATCAAAATAAATAATAAGATCCAACACGCAAGTTTTAAGTTGTATAAATACTTATATTAATTACTATACAAAATTTGTTATAATTTGATTATATCAAATTCTTTATTTAACATATTTTGCAATTCTTTTACCAGATTTAGGAAGTTTTACCTAACAATATGCTGCGAAACCCAAAATTATGATCATACTTTTCAGTGGATTCAAAATACCATATCTAGAAAAACACATAGTTAGGTTAATCTGTAAGCAAAGGAACATATCGAAAATCGCACAAAAAAATAAAAACTAAAAAAAAACCACGTAGAGTAACCAATCGCCAAAACCCTAGAACAAACCGTAAAAAAAATAATAGTATATGAATATGAGCGGAGGCAGAAAATATTTATTTTTATAGAAAACGATTTAGGGTTTATGTGTTTCCTTATTTATTTGTCCATTATTAATGTGATCAACTATTTCTTTATAATTATCACAAACATAGGCTTGGGCTCACTCTTTTCTAGATCTGATCCATGATTGGTTAAAAAAAACTGATTTAGAAAGAGAGAAATTTAGAAAAACAAAAACACAATTAAATTAGTCTAAGGTTCGAACTTACTACTTATGAGATAAGAATTCAGGTCACTAACCATTGTATTTTGTGTTATTTTTTTGTTAATCAATTAGCAGTTAAAATATATATTTTATTGTCGATAAAAAAATGGTATGATGCCATTTATTTTCTGTCATGAGCTCTATTCCATATTTTATTATGTATTAATTATGAAATATTTCCTTTTAATCAGATTTTCTTTATAATTGTAAAATAATCAACTAACCAATCAGAATATAGTATTGTCATTAATGACATAACTGTAATTTAACACCTTCCACCAAAACAACAGAAAAAATAATAATAATTAATTAACACTAACCAATCAGAACATAACATCAGTTAACCAATCAGAACATAAGGATTTCATTAATCAAAACGACACAAAAATCTGTGCGTTAAACCACAGCTCAATTCACTTCTCAAATACTATAATAGATATTTACATTTATCGATCAATTCAGCTATAAATGCAAATCAGCTGAAGGTTTGTGACTTTTTTTTCAAACCATAATCACCAATTATCAGACTTCTTAAAATTTTAGTGAATATTTATATGGTTAAAATTTGTTATATTTTAAGCTCAATAAATCATAATTTTTATCTTAAATGCTGACAAAAAAAATTGTCAAATAAACAGGAATTTTTTTTTTTAGTTTCTGCCTAGAGTGAAGTAGGCGATTATATAATATACAAAAAGAAGTGAATACACGAAACATAACATACGAAACATAACATACACAACATAACACATATTTCTACAAGCCTATAGCATCAAGAAGCTCTGAATGCTTAGAAACTGTAACAAGCGAATTTGCAACAATCGCACCACTAGCAGCCACTGCAGGAACACCAATCCCGGGAAAGGTCGAATCACCGCAACACAAAAGCTGCGAAATGGGAGTGGAATGCCCAGGAAAAGTACCTTTCCCGGCCTCTATCGCAGGCCCATATGTTCCTCTATTCCTCCTTAGAAACCTCTGATGTGTCAGTGGCGTTCCCACCAAACTCACCTCGCACTTCTCCCTCTTGAACCCGGGCCCTAACGCCCGTTCCACCGCTCTCCACATTACCTGATCACCAACCAACACAAATTAGGTTGATATATTGTTTCCGTTCGGTTTGATCGGTATAAAAATGTTGTTTCCGTTCCTTTAACAAAACATTGGTTAGGTATTGGTTTAACGAATTTTGGTTTGCATTTCTTAAGTTTGGCTACAGTTGATTTGGTTTGGATTCCGTTTGGTCGGTATAAAAATATTTCTTCCCTTCCCTTTCACATAACCTTCGGCTTCGTTTTGGCTTAACGAATTTCGGTTTGCATTTTAGCTAAGGATACACTAAATTTGGTTTCGGTTCAGTTTGGTCGGTATAAGAATAATGTTTCCCTTCCCTTTAACATAACATTCGGTTCGGTAATGGTTTATCAAATTTCGGTTTGCATTTTTCTTAAGTTTGGCTACACTAAATTTGGTTTCGGCTCGGTTTAGTCGGTATAAATATTGTTCTTTTCCCTAGAACATAACATTTGGTTTGGTATTGGTTTAAAGAATTTCGGTTTCCATTTTTGTTAAGTTTAGCTACACTAAATTTAGTTTCGGTTCCGTTTGGTCGGTATAAAAATCTTGTTTCCCTTCCCTGTAACATAACTTCGGTTTGGTTTTGGTTTAACGAATTTTGGTTTGCATTGATTTCTATGTCCACTCCTAGTTGAATTCACAAGTTTAAGAAAAAATATAAGGAATTGGTACCTCGGACCGTTGAGATTTGAGATTCTTGTACTCATCACTTCTCCTATCAAGACCTTCCCATAGACCAAAAGGTTCGGTTCCAGGCAAGTAAGCGTGCAGAACATGTTTTCCGGGTGGTGCGAGGTTCGGACTAAGAACGCTAGGGACTGATATCAGAACCACATTCTGGTCAGCATCCACACCACGATCCCAGTCGTTCACAACAATATGATGAATCTCAAGGTCATCTGCTATTCCCTGTTCCTGTTCCATTAAGAAAAACAAAAATCAAAACCAAGAAAATAACAAAGTAGATTTTACTTCTTCTTTCCTTTCATACCTTTGCGTCGAATCCCAAGTGAAGATGCATGAATGATTCACATTGAGGAGTCTTGTTCACACCTGTAATGTAAGAATCTGCAAGAGCTCCAGGAGGTAAGAGCTTTAACGTGTCCCACATCGATGCGTTGCTGACCACAGCCTTTCTAGCTCGAACAAACTGTTAACATTTACATATCTTGAGTAATTATCTGAAAGAAAGATATGAAAATATTTATGATAAATTCATGAAAATGTTCATACTTGACCATTCCTTAGCTTGACTCCTACGGCTCTACCATTCTCGATGACAATGTTCTCGACATGGCTTTTAAGAGACAAACGTCCACCAAACTTCTCCAAGCCACGGACAAGCGCTTCAACCACGGCACCGCTGCCATCAAGAGGATACTCCAATGTGCAACCTGGCTTGTACCATTCTGCAAACATGTAGATCTGCACAGCAAACGAAAACGACTTCATTTTAACCCATATACATGTGCAACAAAATTTGACAATCTTGTTTCTTTTGTCTATTGTTGATCCAAGCAAGATACGTTTTGGATTCAAGGATACAGTTAGGATTGCGAAACCTTTAGTTGATGATACTGACAAGTAGTAATGGACATAAGATAGCAATTACCATCTCTGCTGAGAGTATGCCATCAGATTTGACCCCAGCGAGAAGGAATGCGAGAAGATCAATCCAGTTTCGTATAAACGGGTCTTTCAAGTCCAAAGAATCAACGATTTCCGAGAAAGGACGGAGAAGCTTTGTGGCTCCCAACGCTCCTTTAGGACCCATTTTGATGAAAGATTTCAAGAGGGACGGAGCATATCTAACAAGAAACAAACACTCATATTAAAATCAAGCACCTAGAAAAAGAAGATGGCTATAAGTAAATTCTATTCTGATATACTACCTCGCAGCAGCCGTGGAGAGAACACCAAGATCCCCGCGAATAGACAATGGTGGCAAAGCCATAGCAGCAGAAGACAGAGGGAGTATTGCTCCCTGCAGGTTTCATATTCATGTCATTATTAGCAGATGAGATCTGAACGAGTAGATGTCATTTTATATTGACATACAGGCACCCACAAGAAGCTTTTCCCACTCCTGCACTGCATTAGGGCCAGCATATTTCTCTAGATCCTGAAGAAGAAAACAACGCTGAAGATGATCAGAGATACAGTATCATAGAAGCCACTACAAAGTGAAACAAGAATCATAGTTAACTTTCAATTATAGCTCAAGAATGCCATACAATAAAAAACATGATTGTCGTTTTCATTACAATTTATAACAAGAACTCGGAAACATAGCAAGACAAGCTAATAACCTTTTACCTTAAAGAAATCGGTAGGGCCTATGCGTGACAAGAAATCACCTTCTGGTAAGTAGACCATCCAAGAGTCATATTTAGCACATGGAAGTGATTCCCCTAAAGCATCCAGAACCTGAAACAATAATCAACCAAGAATGCATAAGAACCAACTCCAAAGTCAAGAATCCGATGAATTTTATCCCAATCCAGAACCGTGAAACCACACATATAGAATACTAACAGTTCACTAGAAGAACACTATGTGTACATAACCTGATGATCAAGGCAAGATGATTAAGCACGGACGGGAAAAGATAGAGCACAAAAACTAAAATATAGTTAAAGAAGAGAAACATATTACTTGAGCAAGTGGGTTTGCTTGAGGGCCTCGCGACTGTAACCCGGAAAACAGAGACGGACCTGAGTCAAATTTGTAACCTTTGATCTCAAAAGAATGAGCAGCGCCTCCGGGAAGGTCATGACTCTCGAGGACGAGCACATCCTGATTGTATCTAGCTAACAATGCACCACAACATAATCCTCCTATGCCACTTCCAATAACCACAACATCTGCTTCAGGTTCGCCTAAAACACACAACCAATACAGTAAAATGGTCAATATTACGTTTTTAGTTGACCTCAAGGCAGAATAACTAAGGACATATTAATTTGCTAACTGTTTAATTCAGACAAGTAGTTCAGCTTGCTTTCTACTCACATTTCAAGCAAAAGAGCAATCTGTTGACAGTATTTAACAGATTCTTACACGCATTTCTAGATTTCTTGTTCCAATTACAGATTGTCATGATTCAACCAAAGCTCGAGTTTTGTGTTTCTTTTAGAATCAATTTCTGAGGATCCCTACTAGACTGATGGTGACAATATCAAGTCCCTTTCTTTATTGAATTGTGAAGCAAATAACGAAAAGAGAGAGAGATAGAGAGAGAACCAGAGAAGGGTTTCTTGACGGGGAGATTGCCATTGGAAGAGGTTGATGAAGAAGAGCGTATGAAGGAAGATCTGATCGTTGGGCGTCTAAAGTTGTAGAGAAACGGAGACTGAAGTGTCCAAGCGCAGAAATTGGTGGCCATAGGAGAAGAGAGAGAAGCTATGTGTCTCTCTCTGTGTGTGGATTTGGCGGGCTCATTGTTCTTTCCCTTGTGAATGGTGAGAGACTTGTTAAGAGGCCTTAATGCAGCCACGTAAAAGCACCAGCTTTCTTCTTTGTTGGATAAAAACAGTCCTCAATGAAATTTTCGGCTTAATAAGTATACAGGCACTTTTTTTTACCCTCTCGGTTCTCGACAAACCATTATTCTCTAATTATTCCAAACTGATTTTCGATATTCTAAGTTGGGTGGGTTTTCACCCATATAGATCATACCCAGCTGGATAGAGAGGATTCTCGGAATTACTCCCTGCCTAGCCATATATGATGTAATAGATGGGTAGATGAAAAAAAAAAAAAGTTGGGTGGGTTTAGTTTTGAAGTATAAGGGTTTTACCCACAATCAGGGCGAATTTAGCTTTATCGTGGTCACAATATTAATTTGATATATTGCAATTATAAGAATTTGAATAGTTCGTGATGTTTGTCAAAGAATAAATTGTTTGGAAATGTAATTTGAGGAAGCTATATACTAAAACTAGTGTAGAAGAATCGAACATTTGCCTAGCATTATCATTTTCCAACTAAAAAATAGTTCAACGATGACGAAGCCCAAAGACATCAAATTTAACCAATCAATGAGGTTCAGGAACAAATACATATCTAAATTTCACAAGCAAACAAATAAAAGAACATAGAAGAAGTTTATGAATATAACTGTTTTACAAAAATTGACCTAACGCTAAAGACGAACAATTTCTCGAGAGCTTCCAACCGAGAATTATAATGATTGAGTCAAAATTACATCGTTTTAAGTATATATATACTCCAATATTTCCAATGCTTTTATGTATAAACCCATGGTATGATCTGATACACACCTGTCAAATGCCATACAATTATAATTCATTATCATTGTTGTAGTAGACACTTAATGCTTATATATCAAGTCAAATGTAATCTATGTTTCTTAAAAAGCCCACCTTTTAGCTAACAAATCCTGGTGCGTTTTATAGAAATCTAAACAATACTGCTTATATTACTAACCGCGCAATGATTTAAACTACTAAGCAAGAGCAAGAACAAAAATATACCTCAGACATTGTTAAAGATTTGCTTTTTTATTAATCACGGAGCCCTAATTCAACCTCGAGCTCATCATCCTCCTCAAACAGTTTCAAAAGCCGAGCATACTGCTCGTCTCTTTTCTTCTTTTGCCACAGTTTATATAGGAAAAACGATAATCCCGCTACAGCACCAAACCCAACTATTATAAGGATAACATTTGTTTTACTGGAAGAAGTATGAGATTCAGCCTTTGTTCCAGTACTTGAACTATTGGAATCATCGGATACACCTGAAAGAATATCATACCAATACAATAACATGAAGGTGCTAATGATTTAAGAGACTTAGTAGCATTTAAGCACACAAGTCTTTTATTCGTAAAGTTTGTTGTAGAGTTCTCATCAATCTGAAGCTACGGGATATATCCTCAAAGACTACAGAATATGTTACTAATCGTAAGCAAATACACCCCTTATCAAATAGAGAAGATTATCAATTTGCTACAAGATTTTTCGGAATTTGCAGGATAAGTACTAGCAATAGCATAGTCTTCTTTAGAAAATGGCGGTCATAATTTGACTCGGTAAAACGTAAACAAAGGCTTATGTACAGCTTCAAACTCCAGGAATCGAAAGAACAGTCATACACATGAAGCGTTACTAGTGCTTTATACAAGTATCATGATGGAAACTACAAAAGAAATTAACATAAAATTTTGAAATTTCTAATAATCAGTGTACCAAATTGTTAGAAGTATCATTTGGCTTTAAAACCATATCAACAGAGATCAAAAGGTGACACAAAAAGACAAGCTATCAACAAAACCTGTCAATGGAATCAATAAAACACAAACATGTTAAACTTGAACTTACTTGTCTAAATTGTTAATTTACAGCTACGCGACAGAGAATCTAGATAAGAACGAAAAGAATCTTCACTTTTTCGACCTTGTAATCTCTGAAAACCTAAGAAGAGAAATTCAAACAAATCTTTTTGCGGAAAATCCAAGCTAAATTTCGACATAAATCTCGCTGATTCTGAACAAATATTACAAAATTTCAGTGAATTTAATGAGTCTACCAAACAGATATGAGGGAAAAGAAAACTCAGGTTTTTGAAATTGAAATCGCAGATCTGATGAAGACGAACCTAAGACGAAATGAAGACAAAGCGAAGCGTAGAGAAGAAGATGCCACCATGAAAGATCAGTCGTCGAGGTACCTCTCATCTCTCCGTGTCTCTTGGGTTTTGCTTGTAGGCAAGGAAGGATCGATTCTTCTCTGTTTAGAATTATATATGTGATGTTTTTGTAAGAAATAAAAATAAAGTAGGTGATTTACAATTTGACCCCAAAATTTATTTGAAACTTAAATTAGCTTACGATGAAAACGTAAATTGAAAAACCTTCATGAGTGTTAACTAGTTATTTAATATCAGATTTTAGTTTTTAATACAATTTAAATCTTTAAACATAATTTCCTGTTATTCAATAGATTTTTATTTAACTCCTATCTTAAATTTAAAATATGTCCGATTCATACACAAATTATAGTATTTGATAAATATATTATATAATATGCAGAGAGTTTAGTGGAAATGATATCAAATAAAGAAGTATTTCATTAATTTCGTCGACATCATATTACAAAGTAAATAACACATATATATAGGGAGCAGTAAATAAAGTTACCGATTTTGACATGACGGTGAAAATAACTTCTCTTATAAGTAATTAATAAAATATTTAGATAGATAATTATTATCTAACACTTCCTCTTAATTATCCATATGTACTGCTTCATTAAAAACTTTATCATGGAAAAATCCATTGGGTGAAAAAATCATGATAAAGGAAAAAGAGTACAGTAACATAATCTCTTTAGAAATGATGGATATAATTTTTCTTCATAGATTTTGCAGTCGACGCATTCCAATATTATGGACATGTTTTCTGAATGATGTAGTGGAAAGCGCCTTTGTAAAAATATCTGCTGCATTGTCATTTGAGCGAACATATTGAATATCCACTTTCTGATTCTTCTCGAGTTCTTGAGTGTAAGAGAAAAACTTTGGAGGAATATGTTTTGTTCTGTCGCTCTTGATAAAACCTTCTTTCAGTTGAGCAACACATGCAGCATTGTCTTCGAACACTTTTGTTGGTTCCGTATCCATAACTATTCCACTTGCACCTTGTATACGTTGAGTCATAGATCGGAGCCATATGCATTCTCTACATGCTTCATGAAGAGCAATGATTTCTGCATAATTTGAAGAAGTGGCGACCAAAGTCTGTTTTTGAGAACGCCATGAGATCACTGTTCCACCAATTGTGAAAACATATCCAGTTTGCGATCGTGCTTTATGCGGATCTGATAAATATCCTGCATTTGCAAAACCAACTAGACCAACTTCGGAGTTTCTATGATAAAATAAACCCAGATCAATCGTACCTTGGAGATAACGAAAAATATGTTTTATCCCATTCCAATGTCTGCGCGTAGGAGATGAGCTGTATCTTGCAAGTAGATTAGTGGCAAAGGCTATATCTGGTCGAGTACAATTTGCAAGATACATAAGCCCACCGATAGCGCTCATATAAGGTACTTCAGGACCTAATACATTTTCGCTATCTTCACAAGATCAAAATGGATCCTTGTTAATATCAAGTGATCTATTGACCATTGGAGTACTCAAAGGAGTTGTTTTATCCATTTTAAAGCGTTTTAACACCCTTTTGGTGTAATTCGATTGATGCACAAATATTTTGTCTTGGAAATGCTCAATCTGGAGCCCTAGACAAAATTTTGTCTTTCCAAGATCTTTCATTTCGAACTCTTCTTTCATGTGAGTTATTGCATCATCAATCTCCTTTTGAGTTCTGATTATGTTCAGGTCATCAACATATACAGCAATGATCACAAATCCGGACGAGGATTTCTTAATAAATACGCAAGGGCATATCACATTGTTGATGTATCCTTTACTCAACAAATATTCACTTAAGCGATTATACCACATGCGTCCAGACTGTTTTAATCCGTAAAGTGATCGCTGTAATTTGACCGAACATATGTCTTTAGATGCTTCAGGCATCTTTGATCCTTCTGAGATCTTTACTCCCTCTGGAATTTTCATATATATATATATATATATATATATATATATCACTATCAAGTGATCCATATAGATATGCAGTTACAACATCCATAAGGTACATTTCTAGATTTTTAGCTGTCGTTAGGCTCATTAAGTACCTGAATGTGATTGCAACCATGACGGGGGAATATGTATCTTCATAATCAATTCCCGGTCTTTGAAAAAAACCTTGTGCCACAAGTCGGGCTTTATATCTTGTGACCTCGTTTTTCTCATTTCTTTTTCTCACAAAGACCCATTTGCACCCGACTGGCATTACATCTTCTGGTGTAATGACTATAGGTCCAAAGACATTTCTTTTATTCAGGGAGATTAATTCATTTCTCATGGCAATCTGCCATTTCTTCCAGTCGGACCTTTTCTGACATTCTGACACGGACCTTGGGTCTGGATCATCATTTTCATTTTCAATTTCTTTAGATACCAAAAATGAGAATATTCCATTTGTATCATTTATCTCGCTTCTGGCCCATAATGTCCCACTTTGGGCGAAGTTAATAGAAATCTCATACTTTTCAGTATCATGTTCGTTTTCGAGACGAACTTCTTTAATTGGTTCTTTTGGAACCTCTTCACCAATGTCTTCAAGACATTTTTCTTTATTTGGTTCTTTTGTAACCTTGTCTCCCAATTTCTTTTTCTTTCGAGGATTTTTATCCTTCGAGCCCATCGGTCGTCCGCGCTTTAACTGAACCCGCGGTTCATTTGCTTTATTCCCATCAATAACTGGTTCCGGTACATTTATGTTTTGATGGAGCATTAGCAGCGGGGATATATGATTTTGTCACTCATCTCGTATCTGTGAACGCATCAGGTAACTGGTTTGCCAACCTTTGCAAATGTATGATTTTCTGAACTTCCATTTCGCGTTGATGGGTAGGGGGATCGAGATAAGCTAAGGTTTGTGTACACCATGTGATATCCTTTGGTGATTCTCTTGATCCTCCCCCCAACGCTGGGAATTCATTTTCATCAAAGTGGCAATCGGCAAAACGTGCCGTAAACATATCTCCAGTTACCGGTTCAAGATATCTAATTATACTTGGTGACGTATAACCAATATATATTCCCAATCTCCTTTGTGGCCCCATTTTTGTTCTTTGCGGCGGGCTATTGGGACATAGACCGCACATCCAAATATACGGAGATGGGATACATTTGGCTCCCTGCCAGATGTTAACTGTATTGGGGAATATTCATTATATGCACTTGGCCTCATCTGGACCAATGCGCCAGCATGCAATATAGCATGTCCCCATACAGTAATTGGGAGTTTTGTTCTCAATATTAACGGTCTTGCTATCAATTGCAACCGTTTTATTAAAGACTCAGCCATGCCATTTTGTGTATGAACATGTGGAACCGGATGTTCAACATCGATTCCTAATGACATACAATAGTCATTAAAGGCTGCTGAAGTGAATTCACCAGCGTTGTCAAGCCTGACTTTCTTTATGGCATAATCATGGAATTGCGCTTTCAACCTGATTATTTGGGCAATGAATTTTGCGAAAGCCATATTTCTTGTGGTCAATAGACACACATGTGACCATCTACTAGATGCGTCAATTAATACCATAAAATATCTAAATGGCCCGCACGGTGGGTGAATCGGCCCACATATATCACCATGTATTCTCTCTAAGAATACAGGAGATTCATTCCTAACTTTGGCTGGCGAGGGCCTAGTTATGAGTTTTCCTTGAGAACATGTCTGACATGAAAACTCTCCCGATTGAAAAATCTTTTGGTTTTTCAATGGGTGGCCATTCGAATTTTGCACAATCCTTCTCATCATGACTGATCCAGGATGGCAAAATCTTTCATGCCATACTATAAATGTACTAGTAAACCCTGGGTTTACTGTAACATAAAATTCAGTCATATATATTTTTATGCAATATAACCCAGAGGACATCATTGGTAATTCTTCCAATACGTGTTTCCTCTCAGATATAATACAAAGATATTCAATGCCATTCTTATTTGTACTTGCTATATGATATCCATTTCCTCGGATATCTTTAAAACTTAGCAAGTTTCTACTGGATTCGGGGGAATATAATGCATCATTTATTTCAAAATTTGTCCCCCTTGACAATGAAAAATTAGCTCTTCCGGATCCAATTATAATATTTGCATTACCAGATATGGTACCCACGCTTCCGGCAGAATCCTTTATTTTGAGACAGGAGAAATACTTTTTATCTTTAAGTATAGTATGTGTCGTAGCACTGTCGGCTATACATGTATCTCCATCCTGAATCTCAAATGATGACATAATCTGAATCAAAATATGCAAGAAAATGCATTAATAAATCAAAACATGATTTTAAAAGTTATTTATATTAAGAAAAACCTTGTCTTGTTAACAAAAACATATTACATTCTTATTTAAAATTACATAGGGTTTTTCTTGTCTTCTTCGAGAAGACTTTACATTACATCGATCTTAATCGCTTTGTTTCCATTGATTCTTCTGGATCAACTAGAAAATCAGCGATATCAAGATGAGTATAATCACTTATACCATCAAAGGAAGTTCCAGCTTCATCAGAGATGAAATTGGTTTCAAAATTCTTTCCTTTATCCTTTTCTTTGGCATCTTGTGATGCTCGATACAGATCGGCTAAATGTCTTGGTGTACGACATGTTTTTGCCCAATGATTTTTCATGCCGCATCTGTAACAAGCAGTTTCCTTTTGCTTTCTTGCTTCCCGACCAACATCATTTTGTCTTCCTCGTCCACGACCTCGTCCGCGACCGCGGTAACGGTTTCGACCGCGCCCGTGTCCGCGTTCGGTTCTATTATTTTGACTGGATGACGCAACATTCGCTTCTGGGAATGGCGATGATCCAGTTGGACGAGTTTGATAGTTCAACATCACGAGCTGATTATTTTGTTCAGCTACAAGGAGGACTTGCATCAACTCCGAGTAAGTGGTGTAACCTTTTGCCCGGTATTGTTGTTGCAGGATTACATTTCCAGGATGAAATGTTTGGAGAGTTTTTTCGATCATGTCGAAATCACTTACCTCCTGTCCACATAACATCATCCTAGAAGTAATTCCGAACATAGCGGAATTATATTCACCAACACTTTTGTAATCCTGAAACCGGAGGTTCAACCACTCATGTTTGGCTTTTGGTAAGATCACATATTTCTG